AACTGTAAAAATGGACAAGTAATTAGTAAAAGGGCACTTAAAATGGTGATTAATTGAAAAAAAAAATAATGTTACCCACTCTAATGAAAAAGAAGCAATAAAAAATTATGTTTAAGATAGTCTCACCTTGATTAAAATAATATTCTTCTCTCAGTATTTAAAATCAAAAACAATTTTTATTGAACATTTTGGAGGAAATAAAAACTATTAGAAAATTAAAAGAAAATGAAAAAGGAATATTTAATCCAAGGCAAAATAAAAAACAATTTTTATTGAACATTTTCAATATTTTATATTCAATATTCAATTTTTAATGATGAAAAAAATTAAATCAAAAAAAATTTTTAGAAGTAAAAAAAAGGAAATTAAAAAAAATCTTCAATCAAAGATGATTCACAAGTTTTTTAATGAACGAAATATTTTTCATTAAAAATATTTTCTTGAATTATTTCTTTTTTAACAAAAATTAAAAAAAACTAAATAAATGACATTTAGAAATCTTTATAATTAATTTTTCTTACTTAATTCAAAATTGTCATAAAATTTTTTAAACAAAAAAAAATTTTTAAATATAAAAAATAAATTTTATTAAAGAAAAATATTAATTGTAATAAAAGTAAAAAAATAGAATTTAATAAAAATGAATAAATAAAAAAAAATAAAAAGAAATAATAAATAAATAAATAAAAAGAATAAAAATTAAATTACAAATTATAATTACAAATTACAAATGTAATTGAAGAAATGAATAAATTTCAGAATTTTGTTAATAAAAGGATAACCGTCATAAACATATTTTTTAATTATTTTTTATCATTAGTTTTTAATTTTTATTTTTATTATTATTATTATTATTATTATTAACTAATATTATTAATTAATTAAATTTTTAAATATAGAATTATTATTTATTATAATTTATAGTCATGTAAACAAATAATTTTCTTAGCTCCGTTTCTTCAGTGAGTGCGCGTCACATATTCAAATTCAAGAGACCTCAACAAAATTGTTTTGATTTGAATGAATGAAAAATTTTGTTTCATTAAGAAATTTTTTTCTACTGAAATTTTTAAATTGCGCATGCACTAAAGAAAAAAAACCGTGAAAAATAAAAAAAGTTTGAAAATTAGAAACTACATTAATTGATGAAACGCTTCTGACACCTATTTATATCCAACAATGTTTCTACAACTCTCTGACATCGTTTTAAAGGATGTCCAGTGAAAGGAAACTTGGATTGGAATCGAATAGGTGCACTTGCTTCGTTAACGGTCAATGCATTTAATGACTAGTCGGTTAAGTGCAACGAAGGCTCGTAAATCGAAATTCCATTCTCTCTCCTTCTATATCGTAATCATGTGTTCACGCTTCCTTTTGCTTTTCTACTTTTACCCATTTTTACCAACAATTTCTATCTATATATATAAACATATACATACAAATAACGTCATAAGAGAATCTCCATTCTTTAACTTATTCCAACCAAAGAGACAGCGAAATCTCTTTTCTAAGAAAATTGGAAAGTAAATAAGATTAGTTTGCACTCTTTAATACCAATAATATACTTTTACAAATCTCGTTCATTTATCATCGATGAATTTTCCAAAGTTTAATCGTTTTGTTAAATTCGATTTTTGAAATACAACCATAGGCCTCGGACTTACGCGATAATTTTTTTTACTATCTAGAACTATTTAAATCCATTTATATTTATTTTTAAACTATATAGACTCAATGTTTGGTTGTAAATAATTGTAGAATTATTTATGTTAATTATATTAATTATTTATTGGCGAATATTTTGAGATTCAACATGGAGTTGATATTCTCCACTTGAGAACGCCAAGGTCACCGCTAAACGGCAGTTCAGTCGCTAAAATCAAATTCGACGCCACCTAGTGGTGACACTGGCGTTCTCAAGTGGAGAAATTAAACCAATTCATCAAAAATTTCTTTTTCGGATTAAAAAAAGTGCTATTTTGAGATTTTCTTTCAGTAGAAACTGGAATCAATTTTTTTAATTTTCTATTAAAACGAAAAGAAATATTTTAGTAAAAAAGGACTCGAACTAGGTCCGTAAAGCTTCAAGTCCGTAAAAGTCAGTTTTTTTTCATAAAGGTCCGTAAAGTCCGTAATTCGATAAAAAAAGGACGAAAAGTTCATAATTATTGTAGGATATAATTTTGAGAATTTTATAGAAATTACAAATAATTGAAGAAATTCAATTATTCTCAAAAGTAATAAAATTCTTCTTAGGATTCAATTATTTTTACTAAAAATAAAACTCATCGCAGCGTTTCAATTATTTTTTGAAATAATAAAATTCTTCTCTGAAATTCAATTATTTTCAAAAATTTTTAAAAATTCTCGTCAAAATTTCAATTATCTTTAGAAATAATGAAATTCTTCTCCGAAATTCAATTATTTTTAAAAATTTTAATAAAATTCTTCTCAAACTTTCAATTAATTTTAAAAATTATCCTCAATTCATTAATGATTTTAAATATCTAATATTTTAATAAAATTTTCCAAAAGAATTCAATTATTTAAAAAAATTTTAATAAAATTCTAGGTAAACATTTAATTATTTTCATAAATTAATATAAAAATTTCACAGAAATTCAATTATTTTGCAAATTGTTTATAAATTTCTTCGCAAAAATTCAATTATTTTCATAAATAATAAAATTTTTACTGGGATTCAATTATTTTTGTAAATAATAAAATTCTTTTTAGGAATTCAATTATTATTTTCATAAATAATAAAACTCATTGTAGAATTTCAATTACTTTTTAATATAATAAAATTTTAATCAAATTTCTCCAAAAATAAAATTATTCTTAGAAAATATGTTAAAATTAGTCAAAAGAATTCAATTATTTAAAAATTTGTTGATAAAATTCTTTATGAGAATTCAATTTTAAGAAACATTTAGTTATTCAATAAATTATTTATTTTTGTATTTAAATAATTGAATTCTTTTAACTAACAGTTCTGTAAAAAAATTAATTTTCTTTAAAAAATTTATTAGAATTTTGTATGAAATTATTTTTTTGAAGTTTTTATTTTCTAATATATGTATATATATTTATTTCATAAATTTACTAGTAATTAAATGTTTGTAAAATTGAATTGTAAACAAATGAATTTGAAAATTTTCAAAGAAATTTTTCAAAAATTATTATAAATAATGAATTTAAAAAAGAATTTTAGTTAAAAAAATATTTTCAAAAAATTTAATTTTTGAAAAGTCAGAAATTATTGCAGAAATTCAATTATTTTCATAAATAATAACAATTTTCACACGGTTTTTATTATTTTCGTAAATAATAAAACTTTTAATTGAAATTCTGCAATAATTTATGACTTTTCAAAAATTAAATTTTTTGAAAATACTTTCTTTTCAATTATTTTCATAAATAATAAAAATTTTTACACGGTTTTTATTATTTTCATAAATCTAATTCTTTTTAGGAACTCAATTATTTCCATAAATAATAAAACTCATCGCAGAATTTCATTAATTTTTAAAACATTTTTCATCGAATTTTTTTAGTTTGTAATTATTCTTAAAAAATTAATTTAAATTCGTCCAAAGAATTCAATTATTTAAAAATTTGTACATAAAATTCTTTATGAGAATTCAATTTTAATTCAATTATTCAATAAGCTATTTACTTTTGTATTTAAATAATTGAATTTTCGTAGAATTTTCTAATAAGAATCGATTTAAAAATGAATTTCAGTTAAAATTTTAGATAATAATTGAATATTAAAAGCATTATAGCGTGAATTTTAAGAATTTTAATTGAAAACACTAAAAAAAAATTTTTAATATTGGAGAAGTTACAAATGATTCAAAAATCCAATTATTTTCAAAATTAATAAAATTCTTCGCAGAAATTCAATTATATTCAAAAATAAAATTTTTTTCCAAAACTCAATTATTTTCAAAAATCTAAATAAAATTCTTGGTAAAAATTTCAATTATTTTCAAATTTTTTTTTTGCAATTCAATGCTTTCCAATATCTACTTTTTTTTTAAATAAAATTTTCCAAAAGATATAAATTATTTCCATGAGTTATAAAATTCTTCGAAAAATGCAATTATTCTTGAAAATTTTTTACAATTTCAATTAAATTTTTTGAATGAATTTAATTATTTTAAAATTTTTAATGACATTTTTGTAACAATTTGAATTTTGAAATTTATTTTTTTTTGAAAATTGTCAAAGAACTTTTTCTAAATTTATTAAAAATAATTGATTGAAAGAAGAATTTTATAGTTAAAAATTCTTGAAAATAATAATTGATTTGATATGATGAAAATAATTTTCAAGAAGTTTCAGTAACAATATATTCTTATATAATATAAAATTATGATTTTATCACTCGGTCGTCTTTAATTATTATAAAACATGAAGAAATCAATTACTTCGAGTCGAAGACACGGAGTGATAGATTTTTTCATGTTTTATAGTTATCAAAAAATTTAATTTATAGTTTTAAGTAAAATGGAAAATAAATAAAATAAAAACATTTGAATAAAAATAAAATAAAACAGTTTTGATAAAATGTTCTGTTATTTGACTCGGACTGATTATATTTTTGTCGGTAATAATTGATCCTTAAAGGGTTCAAGCTCTAAAAATGATAGGTATTTTGAGATTTTCTTTCAGTAAAAACTTGAATCAATTTTTTAATTTTCTATCAAAACAAAAAGAAATATTTTAGTAAAATTTCTTTTTCCAGAAAATTGAAGAAAAAAATAGCTTTTTTAATCCATTGAATTAAAGAATAAAAAGGTAAAATAGAACATAACATAAAAAAAATAAAAAGCAAAATAAATAAAAAAAGAAAAGAAAAAAAAAGAATAGAAAAGGAAAAAGTAAAGAAAAAAACAATAGAAAAGAATAAAGTATAGAAAAAAAAGAAAATAAATAAAAATAAAAAAAGAAACAAATGTACAAATTTGTAATATTTCTGTTTTTGATTTCAGGTGGCAATGGCTGGGGATTTTATCATTGGTGTGACGGGAATGATGATAGCGCGATGTCGAAATGACAGTGTCACCCTCACCCTCAGTCAGGTATATCCTCAATATGACAATAATTTAAATTAATGATTTTTGCTTCATTAGATTTTTAATGTAAACATAAATCCCATTATAAGAATCATTGACGATGATGAATATTAATAAGCGATTAGAGAGATTAAATCTACATATGTTTGTTTATAGGTATTGACCGACTTAGTGCAGGGTGAATTTATGCAACTAGGTTCAAAAGAAACGGAAAATGAACGATTTGCACACTACCTCACCAAGACGTATCGAAAGACTGCAAGTTTAATTGCAAATTCTTTGAAAGCGGTAAGACTTCTTTACTCTCTTCATAATGTATTTAAGTAAATATGATTCATCGAAAAATTCATTTTATTACAAACTTGTCTTTTAGCAAACTCTTTGATTTTCTTCTTTTCATTCCTTTTGAGTATGGTAGGGGGTCACTTTTCCCAAACTCATTTTCCCAAAGTAGATTTTTCCCAAAAAATCGTATTCCCAAAGAAGTGTCATTCCCAAAGAACTTTTTTCCCAAAGTCATATTTTCCCAAAATAAAATTGTTCATGAGCTATAATGTAAACTATTTTTTTATTATGTCCAGTGTATAAATATAAATGAAACAATTATAAAATAATAACGAACAAATAAAATTTCAATAAAATAATGTAACAAAATTCTTAGAAAAAGTTTAATTAAAATTTGAAAAAATAATTGAATTATTTCAAAAAAATTTAATTAAAATCGTATTTAAAACAATTAATTTCTTTCAAACAATTTTATTAAATTTTTTAAAATAATTATTCAATTCTTCCATAGAATTTAAAAAAAAACATTTTTTTAAATAATTTATTTTTTCGAGGAATTGAAATTAAGTTTTTAAGAATAATTAAATTTTTTGAGCAATTCCTGTAAAATTGTAGGTATTAAAAATAATTGAAATCCTGCTATGAATTTTATTACTTATGAAAATAATTGAATTGAATGGTTTTTAATTTGAATAGAATTTTATTATTATTCTCAAAAATAATTGAATTACAGAGAAGAATTTTATTATTTTTGAAAATAATTGAATTATTGCAGAAAAGTTTATTAAAATATTTAAAAAGAATTGAATTTCCGTAAAAATTTTTATTATTTTTGAAAGTAAGTGAATTCTTCATTAGAATTTTATAAACATTGTTTTAAATAATTATTTTTTTCGAAATATAATAAATATTATGAAAATTTTATTATTTTAAATAATTGAATTCTTGTGTAAAAACTTTATTTGTGAAAATAACTAAATTTTTCGATTATTAATTTAAAATAGTAATGAAAATAATTGAAATTCTTCGATGAGTTTTATTATTTATGAAAATAATTAAATTCTTGCTTAGAATTTAATCAAAAATTTTTTTTAAAAATTGACTTTTCATGAAAAATTTTATTATTAGTGACAGTAATTAAATTATTGTGAAAAATAAATTGCATAAAATTTTGTTAAATAATTGATTTTTACGAAATTTTTTTGAAAATTAGCGAATTTAAATAAGTAAAAATTTTCTAAAAAAAAAATATTATTTATATTCTTTGTTCAGAAAGTTGAAAATTATTTTTAATTTAGGTATTAAATATCAATTTTTGCGAAATTTAATTTACCTCGTACAAGAAGTTTTCAATTTTGAAAATCTGATGTAAAATTTGAAATTAGTATCAAAATTTGTTAATTTTTTTTATGTACTTTAAAGTTTAAAAATATAATATAATTTGAAAATTTAATTCTAATTATTAGTTTTTTAGTTATGTGTCATAATAAGTATTTCTTTAAAAATTACATAAATTAAAATGACTTGAAATTGTTTACAATAAACATTGCAATACAACATTCCCGCGCGCTTGCGCGCGGATAATTTGGCTAGTATCTATTAATTTGGGAAAATCTGATTTTGGGAAAAAAAATATTTTGGGAAAAATGTCCTTTGGAAACCAATATTGTTTGGGAAACTTGATTTTGGGAAAAATATCCTCTGGGAAATCGTATTTTGGGAAAAATGTACTACAATCTTGAGTATCTTTCATTTTTTTCTTCCATTTTTTCTTTCTATTTTTTTTTCTTTGTTCTTTCTTTCTATTTTTTTCTTTCTTTTTTTCCTTTCTATTCTTTTTCTTTTGTTTTGGGTTTTGTTTTTTTAAATTTAAATTCTTAATTTTTGGGTTTTTTTTTTAATTTAAATTCTTTTAGTCAAACATTTCCAGAAATAAAAATTTGTCCGTTGGAGAAAAATTTGTTTTCTTAAAATTTCTACAGTGGGTCGAATATAAAATGTCCTTTCGCTATTTATAAATTTCGGGGACTATTTTAATCTCAGTGAATTAATTTTCTTTTTTTTTTATTAGGTCGCAATGCTGGCGGATTCAGACGAACATGTGACCGAGGTAGCATTTCAATACGGAAGAAATATTGGACTGGCCTTCCAATTAGTGGATGATCTTTTAGATTTTGTTTCCTCGTCAGACACAATGGGCAAACCAACAGCGGCAGACCTTAAACTTGGATTGGCTACTGCTCCCGTGCTATTCGCTTGTGAACGAGTGAGTTGAGAAAAAATTCATTCAATTCGAATTCAATTCAATTATTTATTATTTTAATAATTAATTAATAAATTAATTATATTAATAATTAATTCATAAATTAACTATTTTAATAATAATCTATCTATATTAATAATCGTTGTAGTTTGAATGTCTGCTCACAATATTAATAGTTAGTTGTTGTGTTTTTTGTGCCACCACTTTTGTAGAAAAAATTAAGAAATTATTTTATTTTACATAATTTTTGCATATAATTTAATTGCATTTTTCTGAAAATACTTGAATTGTTTCAAAGAATTTTATTAAAATTTTGAATGATTAAATTTGATTCAATTTTTTTTATTTTAATTTTTATTAATAATTAAATTAAATCTTTATATTATTTATTATTTATTATAATTAATAAGGCTTCTGTAGAGATTAAATTTTTTTACAATAATTAAATATTTTCAAAGAATTTTATTAAATATTTAAATAATTGAATTCTTTCGAAGAATTTTATTAAATTTTTTTTTAATTATTCAATTCCTGCGAAGAATTTAATTATTTATAAAAATAATTGAAATTTAATAAAAATTTTCTAAAATAATAAAATTCTTTCAAAGATTTTTATTTGAATTTATAAAAATAATTGAATTCCTGCGCAGAATTTTATCAAAATTTTTGAAAAGAATTGAATTTTTTGCAAAAAATGTTATTAAAATTTTTGAATATATATAATTGAATTTATATAAAAAGAATTTTATTATTAATAAAAATAATTGAATTTATTAAAAGAATTTTATTATTTGAAATAATTGAATACTTTCGAAAAATTTGATTATTTATATAAGTAATTGAAATACTATAAAGAAGTTTAACAAAATTTATGAAAATAATTGAAGTTTATTGGAATTTTTTAAAATAATAAAATTTTTTCAACGAATTTTATTTGAATTTATAAAAATAATTAAATTCCTGCACATAATTTTATCAAAATTTTTTAAAACAATTGAGTTTATATAAAAAGAATTTTATTATTATGTTATGAAAATAATTGAATTTATAAAAAGAATTTTATTATTTAAAAAAATAATTGAATTCTTTCGAAAAATTTGATTAAATTTTTTTTTAATTATTCAATTCCTGCGAAGAATTTAATTATTTATAAAAATAATTGAAATTTAATAAAAATTTTCTAAAATAATAAAATTCTTTCAAAGATTTTTATTTGAATTTATAAAAATAATTGAATTCCTGCGCAGAATTTTATCAAAATTTTTGAAAAGAATTGAATTTTTTGCAAAAAATGTTATTAAAATTTTTGAATATATATAATTGAATTTATATAAAAAGAATTTTATTATTAATAAAAATAATTGAATTTATTAAAAGAATTTTATTATTTGAAATAATTGAATACTTTCGAAAAATTTGATTATTTATATAAGTAATTGAAATACTATAAAGAAGTTTAACAAAATTTATGAAAATAATTGAAGTTTATTGGAATTTTTTAAAATAATAAAATTTTTTCAACGAATTTTATTTGAATTTATAAAAATAATTAAATTCCTGCACATAATTTTATCAAAATTTTTTAAAACAATTGAGTTTATATAAAAAGAATTTTATTATTATGTTATGAAAATAATTGAATTTATAAAAAGAATTTTATTATTTAAAAAAATAATTGAATTCTTTCGAAAAATTTGATTATTTATGAAAGTAATTGAAATACTATAAAGAAGTTTAACAAAATTTATGAAAATAATTGAATTTCTGGAAAGAATTTTATTCCTTATAAAAAAAAAATTAAATTATGAAGAATTTTATCAAAATTTTTGTAATGATTGCATTTCTGCGTAAATTTATTATTTATAGAAGTCATTGAATTCCCAGGAAGAATATTTTTCATTAAGAAATTAATTAAATTATTTTGAAAAATTGTATTAAAATTTTTGAAAATAATTGAATTTCTGGAATAATTTTGTTATTTATAAAAAATAAATAAATTCCTGGAACGAATTTTGTTGTTGATGATAATAATTGAATTATTATAAAGAATTGTATTAAAATTTTGGAAAATAATTGAATTTTTGGGATAATTTTGTTATTTATAAACAATAAATAAATTCCTGGAAAGAATTTTGTTATTCATAATAATAATTGAATTATTATAAAGAATTGTATTAAAATTTAAGAAAATAATTGAATTTCTGAAAGAATTTTATTCTTTACAAAAATAAATAAATTCCTAAGAAGAATTTTGTTATTCCTTAAAAATAATTGAATTATTATGAAGAATTGGAATTAAAATTTTTGAAAATAATTGAATTGCTGCGAGAATTGTATTATTTATAAAAAATAATTGAATTCCTGTGCAAGAATTTAGTTATTTAGGAAAATAATTGAATTCTTATAAAGAGTTGTATCAAAATTTTTGAAAATAATTGAATTCTTATGAAGAATTTTATTATTTATGAAATTTATTAATTTTTAAAATAATTAAATTTCAACGAAAAGTTTAATTATTTATAAAAAAAATTAAATTATGAAGAATTTTATAAAAATTGTAGAAAATAATTGAATTTTTGTGAAAAATTTTATTGTTTATGAAAATAATTGAATTGTTTGGAAGAACTTTGTGAAAATTTAAAAAAATAATAAATAATAATGATTAACTAGTTAATTTACGAATAATTAAAATTTTTAATTCGAAATTGTTTAAAAATTGAAATTGATATTTAAAAATAAAAATTTTTGTAATTTGTTAATCAATAATAATAATAATTGTTTACTTATTATTAATTTTACTTTAATTTTCTTTTTTAGTATCCAGAATTGAATTCAATGATAATGCGCCGATTTCAAGAACCAGGAGACGTAGAGAAAGCATTCGAATTGGTTCATAAATCTCAGGGTTTGGAGCAGACGAGATTTTTAGCAAAAAAACATTGTGTTGAAGCTGCACGTTTTGCAAATACATTAGCCGAGAGTCCTTATCAAAAAGGTCTACTGGTTGTCAGTGACTTAGTACTTAATCGTATGAAGTAGCACACTGCAATAAGTCACTCGAGATTTTATTTTACGCAAATTTCGTTGGATAGAATTTAGATCGTTCTAAATTTATATATAAACAAAAAACGATAGTGCACAAAAGTTGAGAAGAGAAGAAAACTCGAAAAAATATTCAGTGGAGAAGAATTTTTTTTTCCTTTTTTTTCTTACACAACATAACATTATTATAAAAGACAATTGAAAGTGTGCGAAGAATACGAAACGCTTTTTAAAGAGCATACACGAAATAAATGAATGAAAGATTTTAGAAAAAATGATGAATGAATGCGTTGTGAATGTTAAGAATGATAAAAATGATATAAATGATAAAAAATGATGAAAATTATAAAAATGATAGAAATGATGAAAATGATACGAATGATAGGAATGATAGTTATTATACTATGGCTCGTAATTTGGAATCAGTTAGAGATTATGTACCTTTTTTTATATTAATTATTTCAAACCTTATTTTATATTTACCCGTGAATTTCAAACGAGAAATTTCGTAAATAATTTCTGAACTAAGTCTCTTTTGATTTTCACAAAAATACCTGTCGAGATTTAAAGAATTCTTCTTTTCGACAATTTGACTTTTTTTTCATAAAAATAATTTGTTTTGAACATAAAAGAAGAATAGAAAACAAGAGAAGAAAAGAAATAAACAAGAAAAGAAGAATACTTTAAACAGCGTCAATAGAAAATGTCCCTTCAGTAAAAAAAAATTAACTTATATAATTTAATTCTAAAAAAAATTATTCAAGAATAATGAATAAAAAAAAATATTCAATAAGAAACGGAATAAAAGCTAAAAACTCGGTGAAATTTTGAAAATCGGGTTTTCTTGCCGCTCGAAACTGTCATCGAACTGCAATAGTACCATCGTAACTGGAATTTGTGTAATTTTCCTGTAATTTTACTACAATTTTAAATTTAGTATCGAACTCAAAAATGAATGAAAGGGTGTGGAATACTATTTTCTGGGAATAATGACAGTTTATAAGAATTTTTACTATTATAAAAAGGCCTTGAAGTTTTTTTTTTGCACCCGATAATCTGTTTTCTTCCAAGAAGAACATTGTAATAAATATACGAAATTAGCGTAGATTTTCTACGCCAGGAAGAAATTCAGAAAAGGGTAAAACAAAAATAAACCCAATCATCATTTTTCGGGTTTAAAAACAAAAAATCGATATATTACATATATTACCTGAGTTTTGTTCGTAACATCGATAGTTAATCTCAATTGTAAATAAATTAACTTATAGATATAATAATAATAATTATAATGTTACTAATAATTGACTTTTTTAAAAAGCGTTCGTTTTCTCAACAAATTTGCAAAAACTAGAAAATAAATCATCTTTTTAAAAATTTTTGTATATCGGTAAAAGAAAATTTCGTCCAAACTCTTGTTTATTTTTTTACATAGGTATTATCTAAAATTATAAATTATAAATTATATTAAAAAAATTTTTTTTAATTTGGTGATTGATTTTTGTAATTTTTTATATTAATCTAACCTTTTAGAAAACGAGTGCTAATGATTTTGAAATAATTATTAAGTTATAATTGCGTTCATCGCCCTAGGGAGTCTGTCATCGGTAGAAATTATAAACTATGAAAAAAATGTCTTCCTGTAATAAATAAATAAAATTTTCAGTGAACATTTTTGTACACACTGCAATGGAAAAATTGGCTAAATAGCAGTTTGAATTTTGAAAAGAAAAAAAAAAATTCCGATATAAATTTTTATTATTGGCATTCATTGTATTTTTTTTTCTTAATCTTGATTATGTATTCTCTACCGTTATAAGCTGGACAGACTAAATGCTCAAATTATTCATGGTTGTATGATTTCGTGTATATGTATATCAACGCGCGGAACGATTCTCTCTTTAAATATTACTTTTCGAAAGTAACGACGCGCTCTAATTCTTGGAAAAAAAGAAATTTTTTTTGTCTTTTAATATACTCTATACGAAAATAGAAGAAAAACATCCAAGTTCAATGAAATTTTAATAAATATTTCAATATTTGTTAGATTTGCGAATTTTCTCTAAATTATTAAATTTGGAGAAAATTAACACGAAAAATAGAGAAATAAATGAAAAAAGAGAATCATCCAATGTGTGCATGAAGAAACAAATATATAAATATAATTTTGTTTGCATATGATGTACAATAATCTAATAACTTATATTTATAATAGAATTTAAATAGTGTACATATGAATATTGACAAGCGAGGCACTGTAATATTTTAAGTCGAAAATAATATCAGAAACGCAAAGATTAAAGCACTGAAAAAATTATGCTAATAGGCAATTTTAACATTTGAAAATAATTTCTCTTCAAAATCGTGTTTTGAGACTAATTTTTTCTTGGAAAATATTACGCAAAATATTATTCATTAAACTCTTAAAAATTTTTGAATCATTTTAATTAAAAAAAAATTCTCTGAAAATTATATTTTTAGAGAATAATTTTTTCTTCTATAATATTATTCATTAAACGTTGTTAAAAAATTTTTGAATTATTTTTCGAGACTATTTTTTTTTTCTTAAAATATTGTAAAATATTATCTTAAAATATTATTCATTAAACTTTGTTAAAAAAACTCTTGAATTATTTTAATGAATAATTATTTTTCCAGACTATTTTTTCTTAAAATATTTCGTGAAAAATATTATTCATTAAACTTTGAAGAAAAATTCTTCAATTATTTTAATGAATAATTATTTTTCGTGACTAATTTTTTTTCTCCTAAAATATTGTGAAAAATATTCATTAAACTTTGTTAAAAATTAGTGAATTATTTTAATGATTTTTATTTTAATATTAACAGAAAATAATTAGTCCTCTAAAGTTTATAGTCTTCTATTTACGCTGAAAAAAAATTTATTTGATTCAAATAACCAATTATATTACCGATATTTACTTAAATAATTTTTATTTCAAATAAATTAATTTCAAATAATTTTTTATTAATTCAAATAAAATGTATTTTTGGAACAAATAATATCAGTAATATTGAAGTAAATGCAATTTAATTGATTCGAATAAAAATGATTTAAAATTAATAATCAAATAAATATTTACTGAAATAATTTTTCTTTTAAATAAAAATAAATTTCAAATAATTTTTAATTAAATCAAATAAATCGTACTTTTTGAACCAATAATTTCAGTATTTGAAGCAAACCTACAATTTGACTCGAATAAAAATTAATTAAAACAAAAATTATTTTAGTAAATATTTGCCAATCGACAAATAATCAGTCACTTGAATCAAGTAAATTTTTTCTCACTGTAAAAAAATATTCTGAATTATTGAAGAAAATTTTATTTTCCAAAAAAGAGTTTGATTTTATATTATCTACTTATAGTGTTAATATTTCGTAGGAGAATCTTCTCTTTGTAATTTTACGATAACTTCTTGTAAAATAAAAAAACCCCGTCAACTACTTTCAATTTTTCTGAAAATACTTTTAAAGTACTAGAACAATTGTTAATGTGCCTCAAAAAAAAAAATTCTTTACAGTTGAAAACTCGAAAGATTTTATTGTTGTAATTTAGAAAGAAATCAAAACTATATTCACTTTTTTAATTGTACAATCAAATTTTTATTTTGATAAATATTGTTATTAAAAAAAAAAAAAGAGAGAGAGAGAGAGAAAAAAAAAATGTTACACTAAAAACTATTGTTATACAATTGTATTAATTGTATATTTTACCTTGATTGTTATTGACATGTGTGAAATGCCAACAAATTTGATATATTTAAATTATGAAATGAAAATCCACAATTATTGTAATTAAATTTTCTAAATACTTACTTATTATTGTAAAACAGTTTATAATTTTTGGCCATGAGAATATTTGTTTAGAAAATTATTGTCTCCACGCACTCTTTATACCTTTAAAACCAAATTTAATACTAGTTTAAAGTATAATGGGAAAAATAATTGACACGATTAAAAGCGTTCAACGTTTTTTAAAGTTGTAACAATGATATAAATTGTAAATAGTAGATAGCCACAAAAGGATTTTAAAAGAAAGCCTTGATTTATTGGGTGTGGGTCACCTTCCTTATTAGTAACGATAACAATTAATTTTAATTTCTTAATTATTGTATCGGGAATTACTAAATCTGTCATGTATATTTTCTTTTTTTGAATACAAAAATCACTAAATTTATTAAACAAATTTCCTTCTTTCTCCCTTTGCGTGTTCCTTGAAAAAAAAATAAATGACACTTTCTGTTTAGTTAACAAATAAATTGATAAGTTAATTTAATAATAATAATTACTAATTTTAATAATTTTAGTTAATAAATAATTTCATTTTTTTGGATAATAAATAAAATTTTCTTTTTCAAGGAATTTCTTGAAAAACTAAGAAAAAACTCTTTAATTAGTTAACAAATTGTTAATTAAATAATTTAAATTTTTTAGTTAATAGATAATTTTTATTTTTTAGTTAATAAATAAATCTCACATTAAATTGATAAAAAAAGTAATTACAAATTATTACTAATTAATATTAATAATATTAAGTAACAATTTCCTACAAAGAAAATTTTGCTATACAGTAGGCGCCAGAAAATAGGCTTCCGGATATACAGTTATATCTGGAAGCCTATTTTCAGGCGCCAACTTTCAATTTGCTCAAAACTTTGAAGTTGTCAACTTCAATAAATTGAACAGAAAATAAAAGTTAAATTCAAAATTAAATAACTAAGAAAAGCTTCAAACTTTTAATTTTTCTAATTTACTTCAGATTTTCTCATTGTTTTTTACTTCCCGCCGGAAATTTAATTTATCGTCGGCAAAGAAGATTCCGCGAGTTACCAACAGAGACGAAGAATTTTTGCCGCCAATCTAAATTTTTGTGTTTGTGTGTACCTGTGTGTCAGATTCTTCTTCGACTTCTTCGGCGTCAGTTAAATTGAAAATTTATAGTTTTTTTACTCACATTTGAACAATGGCAGGTCTTTTGGATTTGTGCGAAAAGTACTTCGGTGCTCGTGAACTCTACGAAGTGTTGGAGATCCCTAAAACAGCAGATCAAAAGCAGGGTAAGAAATTTTTTCCACCAAACATAACCTCTATTTGGAATAACAGTCAATTATCTTTAATAATATTTCACAAAGAACAATTTTCTTGTCAATATTCGTAATTTAGGAAAAATGACAATTGAAATATTTAGTATACAATCCTTGGGAATTAAATATTCAATTTTTTAATTTTATATGTACAATTGTGTATCAAATTCACAAAATTCACTACATTTTGTGTTTGCACGTTCAGACTTGTTTTCTTTTCATAATAGATATTTTTGAAGGTCATAAGCAATTGTTTGATTTTGATTGAGAAGTAATATGATTTTATGTACGATTGTATTGATTCGTATTGTATAATTTTTGCAGTTAAGAAAGCGTATCACAAACTATCTTTACTCGTACATCCTGATCGTGTCGAGGAATCTGTTAAAGTCGAAGCTACGGAAAAATTCAAAGTTCTTGGCAGAATTCATTCAATTCTCAGCGATAATGACAAGCGTAAAATTTACGATGAAACAGGACAATTCGATGAAGAGAGTGATGAAGTTGTCATGCGTAATTGGGCAGATTATTGGCGTACACTTTTTAAACCGATTACAGTCAAAGACATAAAGGATTACGAAGAAACTTACAAGGGATCTGAGGCCGAAATAAAGGATTTGAAGCGAGCTTATATGGACAGTAAGCTGAAAATTAATTAATTTATAATTAATTAGAATTTCTTTCTTTTTTTCTAGTAAGAATGCCATCGGCCGATGGCAAAGATTTTTGCCATTAAATCTTTGTCACTGAAATTAATTACTTTCGAATAAACAAAATTTATTTATTTCTTCTTTAAAATCAAATTTTATTGCAATATTTTTGCGTCACTATAAAAAAAATGTAATTCTAAAGTTTTTAAATGTGAAATTTAAGTTTGTAATTTTTATTGCAATCAGTAATTTATGACTTTTCCATAAAGTTTTGAACATTGAAATAAAATTTTTTTCCAATTTACAAATTTTTCAAAATTACTGTACAAAAAAGGAAAAATAATTAAATGCAAACAATTATTTAAAGTAATTTTAAGCGTCAATTTTTAATACACAAAATAATTTTTTTTATAAAATAAAAAACAAATTAAAAGAAGTAAAGCAAAGTCATTCACTTAAACGTTTGAAACTTTTGGTCAAGATGTTCAAATGAACGATACATTTCTTACTAAAAAAATTTTTATAAATTACTGATTGCAATAAAAAATAAAATTTAAATTCCAGATTTAGAAACTTTAAAAGTTATATTTTTTATGGTAATTAATTAATTTTAATTATTATAATGGAAATTTAATTTTTGTTTGAATTTGAATTTTTTGGATATTTATTTAGAAACTACTTTGAAAAGCTAAATTTTATTAAAAATGTCTTTATATTTGTTAGCATTTTATTTACTCGTTTTTTATTTCCAATTTATATTATTTGATTTTCATTATATGAAATTTTCAGGCAAAGGCAACATGGACTATATTCTTGAAGCCGTTCCTTTTACAAACTGTGACGAAGAACCTCGTCTTCACGATATTATTCAAGACCTGATCGCACAGAAAGAGGTACCGGAATATAAAGCATTCACTCAGGAAGATGAGAAGAAAAAGCAAAGACGAAGACGAAAGGTTAGTTAAACACAATTTTTTTTCACTGGGGGAAAAAATTCAATGAAATGGAAAAAAGGTGACAAAAAACTGATTATATTATAATTTTTCTCTAGATACTTTTATTGGGTCAATTTTAGTAAAAATGAATAATAAGACAAAAAATTTTGTCTCTTTATTTTTCTTTTACTTTAATTTTCCTAAAGTTTTGACATCCCTAAAATTCTGAGCGTTCAATTAAACAATAATAAATTAATTACTGAAATTTTTGAAAAATTTTAATCATTCAAATTCTTTTGAAAATTTTGGAAAAGTTACAAATAATTGCAGAAATTCCATTAATTTTCAAAACGTAATGAAATTCTTCGCAGAAATTCAATTATTTACAAATTTTTATAAATGTCTTCGCAACAATTCAATTAAGTATTTTTATAAATAATAAAATTTTTTACAGGAATTCAATTATTTCTAAAAATAAAAACAATTCCCGCAGAAGTTCAATTATTTTCAAAAATTATTATATAATTCTTTAAAATAATTAAATTATTTTCATAAATAACAAAATTCTTGCCAGGAATTCAATTATTTTTATAAATAATAAAATTTTCGCAGAAATTCAATTATTTTCAAAAATTTTAATTCAATTCTTTATAATAATTCAATTTAAATTATTTTTAAGGAATAACAAAATTCTTCTTAGGAATTTATTTACCTATTTTTGTAAAGAATAAAATTCTTTCAGAAATTCAATTATTTTTATAAATTTAAATACAATTCTTTGTAATAATTCAATACATTATTATCATGAATAACAAAATTCTTTCCAGGAATTTATTTATTTTTTATAAATAACAAAATTATTCCAGAAATTCAATTTTTTTCGAAAATTTTAATACAATTTTTCACAATAATTCAATTAATTTCTTGATGAAAAATATTTTCTTCCTTGGAATCCAATTACTTCTATAAATAATAAATTTACGCAGAAATGCAATTGTTTTCAAAAATTTTGATAAAATTCTGCAGAATTTAATTTTTTTTGTAAATAATAAAATTCTTTTTATACATTCAATTACTTTCATAATTAATAAAATTCTTTTTATAAAAATTCAATTATTTTCAGAAATTTTAATATAATTTTTCGCAAAAAATTCAATTCTTTTCAAAAATTTTGATAAAATTCTGCACAGGAATTCAATTATTTTTATAAATTCAAATAAAATTCGTTAGAAGAATTTTATTATTTTAAAAAATTTCAATAAAATTCAATTATTTTCATTAATAATTAAATTCTTCCCAGGAATTCAATTACTTCTACAATTTTCGCAGAAATTCAATTATTTTTAAAAATTTCTATAAAATTTCTCTATAATTTAATTTTTTTTTATAAAGAATAAAATTCTTCGCAAATATTTAATTATTTTCTAAAATTTTCTTAACTTTTTTATAGTATTTCAATTACTTTCATAAATAGATAGTAAAATGTTTCGAAAGAATTCAATTTTAATATAATTATTCAATAAGTTATTTATTTTTGTATTTAAATAATTGAATTTTCGTAGAATTTTCTAATGAGAATCGATTTAAAAATGAATTTCAGGTAAAATTTTACATTAATAATTGAATATTATAAGCATTATAGCCTGAAGTTTTAGAAATAATTGAATTTTGAAAAAGTTTTAAATTAAAATTTTAATTTTTTCATACTTTTAACTAAGTATTCTGTAGAATTACATTTTTTTGGAAAAAGTTTGATTGGATTTCTTTTTTTGTAACTATTTGAAATTTTTTTTCTTATGTATATTAAATTTAAAAATTTCCAAATCGAAAGTTTTGGTAAAATTGAATTGTAAACGAATGAATTTAAAAATTCTCAAATAGAACTTTTTTAAAAAGTATTAAAAATAATTGATTTAAAGAAGAATTTTAGTTGGAAATTTTAGAAAATAATAATTGAATTGAAATGATGAAAATTCAATTACTTCTACACTTTTCACAGAAATTCAATTACTTTGAAAAATTTCTCTATAATTTAATTTTTCTTTATAAAGAATAAAACTCTTCGCAGTAGATATTTAATTATTTTCTAAAATTTTGTTAACTTTATAGTATTTCAATTACTTTCATAAATAGATAGTAAAATTTTTTGAAAGAATTCAATTATTTTCGTAAATATCTAATAAAATTAAATTTTTAATTATATGTTTTTTAGTAGATTAAAATATTAAATAAATTTATTTAATAAATTTACTTTTAAAAATTTTATTAAAATTCATCAGAAGAATTCAATTATTTAAAAATTTGTTCATAAAATTTTTTATGAGAATTCAATTTTAATTCAATTATTCAATAATTTATATATTTAAATAATTGAATTTTCGTAGAATTTTCTAATAAGAATCGATTTAAAAAGGAATTTCATTCATTCTGTAGAATTAAATTTTATTTTGAAAAAGTTTAATTGGATTTTTTTTTTTGAATTATTTGACATTTTTTTTCTTATATTTAATTTAAAAATTGAATTGTAAACGAATGAATTTAAAAATTCCCAAATAGAACTTTTTGCAAAAAGTATTAGAAATTTTAAAGAAGAATTTAAGTTGGGAATTCTAGAAAATAATAATTGAATTGAAATGATGAAAGTAATTTTGAAGAAGTTAGAGTAACAATATTCTTATAAAATAAAATAATGATTTTACTACTCTAACACTTTTAATTTGTTATAAAACATTCGTATTAGTTGTTGAATTTGAAAAATATGGCAACCCTGTTTTTCTAAAAATTCAAAATAAAGAAAGATTGAAAAAAATCTTCGGTAGGTTGAAAATTTGCAGAGTGATTAAAAATTGTATTCGAAAAAATGTGCTCGCGTTTAGTTTTTGATTATTGAATGTCATATAAGGTAGATTATGAGTAATGTCTTGATTTCATAGGTTTCTATTTCAGCCTGTTAATCGCGATCAACAAATATGTAACTTCCGTCAGTTTGAACAAGTATACGTCTACTAATAGTGCTATTTTCCAGCTTCTCTATTTTTACTAATAGTACCTCTTGATGATCAGAAATGCAGTAGGAGGAGAATAAAAGACAAAGTGAGATAGATCAGAAGCGAAGGAGAGAGAGGGAGAATCAGAAGGTGGAAGTAGGGCGGGAGGGGATGCAGCAGTAAATAAATATCTCAGTAACGCTAGAACACAGTTCAGTCCTAAGCGGGTAGCTCTCGATTGATTTATTTATCATTTTTTATCATTGGTACTCTGTTCGCTCCTTCGATATGATTCTCTAGTATATGTTCAATTATTTTCCAACTGTCATATATTATCTATTTTCTATTTTCTAATCATGTGAAAATAATTCTGATGAATCTCTAAATCTGATGAAAAATTTTTACTAATTTTTTCTAAATCTAATGAATCTTTAAATATAATTAAAAGTTGAATAAAAATTATCTAATAAAAATTTGTCTAATGACAATTGGAGTTAAAAATTAGAATCATTAGAATCATTAGAATCGAAAAAGTAGAAACAGTTCAAAGATTAATTGAAGGTGTTATTGAAAATGGCCCGAACGATTCTGTCGATTTTCGTTCTTCTTCCAGTTGTAATCAGTTACATTGAAGGAGCATGTTTTCATGTGGAAACGAGAGATTTAATGGAGTACTCATGCACTGGTGGTTACGTCACTGACTTGAATGGTATTCCAGAAGGAGTTGAACGATTGAAAATATCGAGAATGCGGATTCCGATCATCACCCCTCACACATTCTCCCGATTCAGCGAATCTTTGCTGGTTCTCAAGTGCTCGGAATGCGAAATATCGGAAATCGAACCGAACGCCTTTGGCAGTATGACGTACTTGCAGCAGCTGAGTTTGGACAACAATCGACTGTCATCAGTGAAAGCTTCCTGGATAGAGGGTCTCAGGGACCTCAACTACCTGGATCTCACCTACAACCAAATAGAAGAAATCGAAGACGACGCCTATCAGTATCTAGGAGAAGTCACCGACCTCCGACTCTCCGGCAATCGTCTCAAGTGTCTCAATCTAGACGCAATGTCCCAAATGTCAAATCTAAAGCGCATCTTCCTAAACGACAATCCCCAATTCCAATGTCCGAATGCTGTCGTGAAATTCCTCGAGGATCGCAACGTCACCTTCCAGGAGGACGAGACCTGGAAGGACATAACTCACGATACGGTGCCAGCCAGTCGGAACGAGCAACAGGACTGGAGAACGAGACCCTATCCAATCACCACGACTCCCGTGTATCGGGAGAGAATCACCGACACCAGGAGACCGGATACTATGGAAACTGTCTGGACCACTCAGCCAGAGACTCATCGTCCCATGACAACGCATATCTGGACACGTCCGGCTCGACCTCCTGTCACCACCGAATCGGATATTGCTCGCGAGGACATGTTCCTCTCCCGCGGGGGAAGTGTTCACGAAACGCACACTCCCTCCATGGACCGAAATTCCTGGATGACCACACCGAGATACTGGCCCACCGAACACGTTCCAAGGACTCTTCCCGAAGAGACAGTCTACCCAACGCGTGAAACTTCGCGACCAGTCGCTCCTACCGAACGAATTCACTCGACAGTCTCCAAAGGTGTTTATCAACAACCCAATTATGTGCCTCACGTCACTAACGCTCAGGAAATTGACAACTATCGTCAAGGCGATGAAACCTCCACTGTCTCCAATTTGGAACGAGTGGAAACCGAGAAACCATTGCCAGACTGTGAGAATTCATCCTCGATTATCAATATCAAGAGGGAAATTATTCTCCTCTGCACTCTTTTGCTTATTTCTAAGACTGTCTTTCAAGACATTCTGTAGAGATTCCGTAAAAATTCTGTCAACATCTTGTAGATTCTCTAGAGATTCTCCGGAATTCTCTAGAGATTCTTTAATATTCTCTGGAATTCTTTAGAGATTCTCCATTATTCTCTGGAATTCTTTAGAGATTCTCTATTATTCTCTAGAGATTCTCTATTTTTCTCTGGAAATCTTTAGAGATTCTCTATTATTCTCTAGAGATTCTCTTTTTTTCTCTAATATTCTCTAGAGATTCTCCCATCATTCTCTAGAATTCTCTATAGAGATTCTCTGGAATTCTCCAGATTGGAAATTTTTTTCAACAAACACCAATTTGAAGGAAGCAAAAATAAGAGGAGAAAAAAAATTGGAGATTGGAAATTTTTTTTAACAAACACCAATTTAAAGGAAGCAAAAATAAGAGGAGATGAAAAAATTGGAGATTGGAAATTTTTTTTAACAAACACCAATTTAAAGGAAGCAAAAATAAGAGGAGATGAAAAAATTGGATAAACAAACGCGAGTGATTTAGCATAATTTTTAACGTGACTTGAAGAATCAATGAAAAACATGGGACCCATGTGACATTGTCATTAAACCTGTGCGCGGGCATTTATATAGTGAAACTTTATGATTCTTTGTGACTAAACAATAACTTTAACAGGTTAATTTTAACGACGTATTTAATGAACGCAATTAACCATTTTAGAGGGCATTATTTATTATTAAAAAGAGAAAAACTTGTGCGAGAAAATTTATGCATACCATATTTTATTGTTTTTCTCATGGTTCGTGACCTTCATTTTCGAAGATGTGGAAGGATTATTTTGGAATTTTTGATGATCGAGAATATTCAAAAACAATGAGGGACCCATGCATTTTTATTTGTAGGTATATTATTTTTGGTTTCCATTAATTCTACTGTTTAATAACCTATTGTTTTTAATTAATCTGTCGTTTTTTATTACTGTTTTATTATTATTTTTTTCTTATTTTCTTCTTATTATTTTTTTTATTACTATTTTCACTGTTTTGTTTCTTCTGTTATTAGTTACTTTTTGTTTAGTTCAGAGTGGGCACATGTCAGTAAAGTCAGGGAAATGTCAGTAAAACAATATTTTTGTCAGTAAAATCAGGGAAATGTCAGGAAAAAAATTTTTTGTCAGGGAAATTTAGAAAATTGAAACTTTTTTCGACTTATTTGGTTATTTTCAAAAATTGCAACTTTTTCGACTTTTCTTCCAAATGCTCCAAGAAAATATATTTTTTAGTATTAAATGTAATTCATTTCGATTTTTATAGTGCGAAAAAATAACTATAAACAAATCTTTCAGAAATAATTTTTACATCATTTTTCTATTCAAATTTTTAAAATATACATTTAAAAAGATTTTGAAAAAATAGAATTTTGTAAAATTTAATTGAAAATAATTAATTTTTTTCAAGTATTTTGTTAGAATTTTTGAAAATCAACTTTTTGAAGAATTTTAATTGCAAATTTTGCGAAAATAATTGAATTATCAAAAATTTTAATGAAAAATCCTTAAAAAGTAAATTTTAAAATGAAAATTAATGAAAATTAGCTTCTAATTTTTTTAAATTTAGTATTTTCAATTTTTTCAATTACATAAATATTTCCGAAAATTCAAATATATACAAAAAATAATAACATTTTATAATTATTTTTAACATTTTGGAGAAACAAAATCATATTCAAAATATGATTTGATTATTATTATTATTTGATTATTTTTATTTTTTGAAAATATTATACCTTAATAAATTTAAGAAAAAAACATGGACAGTTACAATTATTATAAAATATTGAATTTTCGTATTAAAATAATTTAATTCTCGAAGAACTTTTGGAAAATTATTTAAAATAATTGATTTAGAGATGAAGTTTTGTTGAAAATTATAGAAAATAATGAAAATAATTGAATTTAGGAAGGGTTATAATTGTAATTTTTAGAAATGATTAAATTTCATAAATTTTACTCATTTTCCGAAAACATTTATATTTTCCTGTGCAAAGAATTTTGTCAGGGAAAATAATTTTAATGTCAGTAAATTGTTTAGTTTAGTTTTATCTTCGTTTCATTTTTTTAGATCAGTTATTTTTTCGTTTTATTTTTTCTTCGTTCAATATTTTATGGTTTTATTTTTTCTTCATTCAGTTATTTTTTGGTTTTATTTTTTCTTCGATCAATTATTTCTTGGTTTAATTTTTTCTTCTTTCAATTATTTTTTGATTTAATTTTTTCTTTATTTAGTTATTTCTTCGTTTAATTTTTTCTTCACTTATTTATTTTCTGGTTTTATTTTTTCCTCGTTTATTTTTTTCTTCGTTCAATTTTTTCTTTAATTATGGTTATTTTTCGATTTTATTTTTTTTTCGATGAATTATTATTTTTTGGTTCAATTTTTTCTTCTTTCAATTATTTTTTGATTTCGGTTTTTCTTTATTTAGTTTTTTTCTTCGTTCAATTTTTTTTCATTTAAAATTATTTTCTGGTTTTAGTTTTTTTCTCGTTTAGTGTTTCCTATGTTCAATTTTTGGTTCGTTTGGTTATTTTTTGGTTTTAGCTTTTCTTCGTTTAATTTTATTAGCGTTTAATTATTTTTTCTTCCATTCATTCTTTATCCTTCAATTATTTTTTGGTTTCATTTTTTTCTCGTTTAGTGTTTTCTTCGTTCAATTATTTTTTGGTTTCATTTTTTCTTCGTTCAATTATTTTCTAGTTTTATTTTCTTCTCGTTTAGTGTTTTTTTCGATCAGTTATTTTTTCTTCGTTCAATTATTTTTTGTTTTTAATTTTTTCTCGTTTAGTGTTTTTTTCGTTCAGTTAAATTTTGGTTTCAGTTTTTCTTCGTTCAATTTTCTCTTCCTTCAATTAGTTTTTGGTTCAGTTTTCTCTTCGTTCAATTATTTTTTGGTTTCATTTTTTCTTCATTCAATTATTTTTTTAGTTCTATTTTTTCTTCGTATAATTATTTTTCACTGTTAATTATTCTTTGTTTATTTTTTTCTTTGTTCAGTTGTTTTTTCTTCACTCAATTATCTTTTGGTTTAATTTCTCCTGGTATAGTACATTCTTCTTATTTTTTGGTTCTATTTTTTCTTCGCCTAATTTTTTCTTCCTATATTTGCTTTTTCGTTTAGTTCTCTTTTTCCTTTGATATTAAATTTATTTTAATTTAATTTAGTTATTATTTTTACTTAGTTATTTATCCATTCAGTTTTTCTTTGGTCCTTTTTTTCTTCGTCCAGTTTTTAATTACTTTGTTTAGTTTCTAAATACTTTGTTTTTATTTTTATTATTTATTATGAAAATTACTCTTTGTTAAGTACTTAATTACTGTTCAGATTTTAATTACTCCATTTACTTTATTATATTGCCTTGTTGAATTTTTTATTTACTAAATTACCTTGTTTACTTATTTTTTTACATTCTGAAGGTTTCGTATTTTATTTTTATTGCTTTTGTCTCATTTTTTTTCTCGATTACTTATTTATTGAGTAACATTTATTTATTGAATAATAATCGTTGTTGTTCTCTAATATATATGTCGATCTATTATTGCAAGGAAAATCCGCATTTTCTCAGAGGAAAATTTGCGGTGTATGGAATGTTAATAAAATTTGGATGTTGTCCAAAACGGAATGCCTTCAAGCTTTGTTACGTCTAAACAAAGTATTGACCTGTCTAAAAGGCATTTGAACATTTTACGAGGAAGTTTATCTAGTCCGGGTTTAATCTTTGATTGGTAATCATAATTTTACATTATGTAAATTAATTGATTAATTTAATTAATTAATTTTGGATTAAATTACTTAATTTAATTAATTTTGAATTTAATTAATTTTTTTCTTCTCTTCCCTAATGGAAATTTGGAACTAAATTAAAGTTTACAATTTAAACGAAAAAATTTGATTGAAGAAGAGAAAAAGAATTTTCTCGTGTCACACGCGGAAAAAAGTGTATAAATGCAGTAAGGAGCACTGGCCTCTGTTAACATGCCGATCTATAAAAGTATTGTTGTGTTGAACGCACTCTTAGGCTCGCACAATGTTCTTCACTAACTTCTAGTCATTGCACAGACCTTCGACGTGAGATGAATCTTATTCGATTCGATTGATGCTGAGCAAAAGTCATTGTGCGAATGAATAATTCATGCAATGTAAACAGCAAGAGAACAGAACACATTCATTTATAAGGAATAAAATGTCATTTCAAAAATGCCGAGGATAATTTATTCCAAATATTATTTGTCACAGTTTCTATACATTTTCCACTGATAATTCCGTTTTTGGAGAATTTTTCCCTTTTTTGTATTACAAAGTGAAAATTATAAAGGGAATTTATTCGAGAATTTATTTAATAGTCGAGAGAATTTATTCGAAAATATATTTGATAGTCAAGAGAATTTATCGAAAATCTATTTGATAGTAAAGAGAATTTATCGAAAATATATTTGATAATAAATAGAAGTTATCGAAAATCTATTTGACAGTCAAGAGAATTTATCGAAAATCTATTTGGATAGTAAAGAGAATTTATTGAAAATATATTTAACAGTAAAGAGAAATCATCGAAATTCTATTTAACAGTAAAGAGGAGTCATTGAAAATTTATTTGACAGTAGAGAGAATTTATCGAAAATCTATTTATTTCGATGCGAAATATTTCTTTGCTTGAAAGTTATAATGACAGAATATTACTTTTAAACCGACAACTTTTATAAATGACGACTCTAATAACTACATTGTCTCCTTTAATTATTGTCACGACTTAAATTTAGCTTTTGAGTTCAGATAATAATCGCAAAAACTTGATAGACAGAATTTATGAGTTTGATCTTCACAACATTTTACTTGTTCAATTATCTCGAAAGCACATTTTTATTTATAAATTTATGCACTGAAATTTTAACAAACTCCAAGCCTGTCAATTGCCATCAATGTCAGACAACAATTAAAAATTTGAATAATCCCAAACAGTTATAATTTCATTCGTCTAATTTTAAATTACCCGGAAATTGTATTAATTTTCAGTATACAAAATTAGAATTTCGATTCTCAATTATTTTTGAGAGAATTTAATTTTCAGGGTTATTTTTCGAATTAGTTTTTAGAATCGCCACCTTTAAGAGTATTTTTTATTTTCTATAAATATTTTTTAATAGAAATGCAGTAAATTTTAATAGAAATTAAAAGAATTGAAAATTTAAAAAAGCCGAATTTTTCTTCTCGAAAACTTATTTTTTATTTTTCATTTTTTATTTAATAGAAATGCAGTAAGTTTGGAGTGAAATACAGAAATGAAAAAAATTAGGAAAGGAATTTAAAAAGGTGGAATTTTTCTTCTCGAGAACTTTTCTAGGAAATACTCTCTTAATCTTTATATGAGAGATATGAGAGAAATTGTTATGATTTCCAGTACAAAAGGAGGTGTTATTCTGTATTGTCATTAGTGGTATAAACTAGCCCCACTAAATTGAAATTAATGAGCGACGAGGGTCGCCCTCCATCGGGAGTTGTAATGGAATAATTAGAAATGCCGCACTGCATCGGCTTAATTTATAATAATAATTATTATATAAGGTTTTTGTCATTTGGCAACACTTGGACAAAATTTCGTATATTTTCTCTGCAGCTTCTTCTCTTTCTCTCTCTCATTAGAAACTATAAATATAAAGGCTCAAAACGAGACCACACAGTCAAGTTCGCGATGCCAGATGACTGCCCAGAAAACCATGAAATTCGGACGGAATTCCCATTTCGCGAGAGAATAATCGCTATTTCCACACCCACACTATATTAGAAGAGACAGAATTTTCTAAATCTCATCATTCATCAGTTTGAATTTCCAAATCGAAAAGAAA